AATTGGCAGCCAAACTCCAGACATGCTAAAAATCGCTATGAGCTAAGGCTTGCTTAGAAAGCAAAAATAAGTTCGAAGATCTACTATAGTTATGTTCAGTCGTAGGCTACTTTGAGAGAGGGGCTCGGTAACTTAATCCTGGAGGACGGTTGCCACGCTACAGATGATGTGGATGAGGCCCAGGTGTTGCTGCTTGCCTTTTAGGAGGTATATAGGGTTGACAGCGGCTGTCCTATCTCCTCACAGGCTCTTCCTTGAGTCGAGAGTATCATGTCAAACGTTCATTAAGTGCATCCGAAGTCCTCGATGTCTTGACACACTTAGACCCCTACAAATCGGCTGGACCTGATAATGTGCACTCTTCTATCACCAAGATGCTTGCTACAATACTCCAGTATCCTGTTTTGGATTTGTACATGTCAATTTAGGAACCTAGGCTGCCGCAAGACTGGAAAGAGGCAGCTGTGGTAGCAATTCAAAAAGCGGGTACTAAATCGACCCCTGAAAACTATAGACCAGTCAGCCTTACTAGCGTTTCTCTCAAATGTTTAGAAAAGCTTATCAGGAACCGGATTTGTGGGCACTTAGTTGCCCATAACTTGATAGGAGCGAAGCAGCATGGCTTCGTCAAGCGGAAGTCATGCCTTACCAATCTTTTATCCTTTTTAGATGAGATAACTCGCTGTCTTGATGATGGCATTTCAGTCGAAGTTTGCTATTTTGACTTCAGTAAGGCCTTTGATTCCGTCAACCATCGTTTCCTACTTGAAAAGCTGTCATGGTTTGGGATACATCCCCAGCTGTTGAATTGGATAGCGGAATTTCTTTGCAAGAGAACCTTCCGAGTTAGAATCGGTGACTCCTGCTCAGCGGTGTTCCTCAGGGCTCTGTTTTAGGCCCGCTGCTGTTCCTTTTATATATCAATGATTTGGCTCCGCTCCTCGAGAACCCTTGCTATATCTTTGCAGATGATGTAAAACTTGTAAACAGGGGCGATCGAAGCACCTTTTCAAAAGATATTTGCACTGTAGCGAGATGGTCTTCCTCATGGGATTTGCCCCTTAACGCAAGTAAATGTCAGTTGTTGTCTTCCAGCAATGATGGGGTTGCAGCGCAAACTACTGCCGGCACCCTGACATTGCGGTCCGTTGCTTGGGATCGAGACTTGGGTATCATTATGACGAATACCTTCAAAACCTCAGCACAGTGTCAGCATGCCGCCAACAAGATGCGGCAAGAGCTACTCCGCCTCAAGAGAACATTATGCGACACTAAACCAGAAGTTTACCTCCCATTATACAAGGCGGTGCTACGATGCCACCTGGAGTGCTGTGTGCATACATAGGAGCCGTATCTCAAGAAGGATGTGACTTGCATAGAAAAGGTCCAGAAGCTGGTGACTAGGATGATCTAGGGCCAGTGCGGGAAATCATACGAAGAACGCCTAAGGGGCCTAGGATTGTTCTCTATGGAGCGGCGCAGGGTACGAGGTGACCTGATAGAAACGTTCAAGATTATGAAGGGCCTCAGCGGGGTCAGTCTCTCCGATTTGTTTATACTTGCTGGATCAGAGCACTTACGGGGGCATGAACTTAAGATTAAGCATCAGCGGTCCAGATTGGTGATCAGGCCCAAATTCTTTGCAAATCGAGTTGTCCATATTTGGAACAAACTTCCTTCTGCTTTAACTGAAAGTTTCACTTTGCCTGGTGCTGAAACGTGTGTCGACACCACGTAACTTGCCGACAAGGGCCATTCCCCCAACCTAGTCATGGCACTCAAAGTCATCTATCGACCACCTGAAAATTGATCAAGGTGCGTTTGAAAGCACTTACTTGAATCGGCTGAGTTGAACGATCAGATTACACGAGTCGGAACTGTGCGTTCAGAAAAGATTCACTCACACGCTGTGCTTGACTTGGCCCAGACGAACTGCTCCGTCCAAACCAAGGCATTGTGCACATGCTACAACTGTGTTCTAGGGGGCAGTGATTGACAGTGACCAATGACTTAAACTGAGTGCTTTACTCTTCCTTGTGCTGTGGAAAACTCGTCGGATGCCAACTTAGTTCATTCGCAACAACCGAAGTGGTACCTGAGGAGCCGGTTTCAAAAATGCTTGACCTCAAGAGATTTAGTCTAATGCCCTTACAAAGCCAATCCATATATGCAGGCCTGAGGTGCCTACCTAAGTAAATTGGGCTACTGCGTTAAGTTGATCCGTGAAAACAAACCCCAGCACCTTTAGCATCGCAACTAGGTCCGAGGGTAATGATTTTCGCAAGTACTAGGAAGTAACTTACGTTATTTGGAAGATCCGTTGTGCGAAGTGGTTGTGACTGGCCTCGGCTGAACCGATTCCCTATGATTCCGAACGTGGAGTTCGGTGTTGGAAGCGAGCATCACAGAAAGTGTGTGCTTTTCACCGCATCATTAAGAATTTGCTTGCTCCGCGATCAAGTTACCGCAACAGCGGAAATCTTGCACCCCCTCGTACGAACTATGGAGGTAAAAATGAGATTGACCTTCCCGACAGTTACGGATTGGCATAGGTAACAAGCACGCAGTCGAAACTTAGGGTAAAGCAAGTCGTCGTTGTTGAAATAGGACCGTCGTTCGCGTAGACTGATTAATATGCCAATTCTTCCTCAGTATATTGAGTAACATATTACCTGCCCTGGAGGAAAACATTGGCGAACAAATTCGACTATCCAGCTTGGAGGACGGGGGGCGGGTTTCAAGTCATATGAAACAGTTATGGTGAGTTATCTATAGGTATTCTGTTATTCAAGCAATTGACGGACTGCAATGGTGTGGTTAATGTATTCTACTTTGTGGTGCATGCCAGCCGTGTTCCAAATGAGTTGACTGTCGCAGAATCTAATGACCTGGCACAGTTTAAAGTTCATGAGTAGTTTCGGGAGAACGCCAATAAGTGGCTTGCAGAACTACTTCCTCGTGGTGCCAGCTGGGTGGTTCGGGTTTACCCCGTTCCAGCGAAGTGTTCGACGACAGTGTTCCACCTTGGTGGGGCATTGTTTTCCAGCAATTGTGGTGATTTCTTGGGGAGTATTGGGCCCCTGTTTGGTGATCTACCAACCAAGGACGCATGAACTGAACATTCAGTCAGCGCCTCCTAAATTCGCCCCGCTGCCTTGCGGGTAGGTTATTTAGCCAAAGACTCGGGGTTGAATCCCCTAAGTCGATTTTCTATTTCGGCTTGGGCAACCGTGTAGTATCACGCCCTCTCACAAACCCATGGACTGTACTTCAACGTGCTCATCAGCTACTGTTTCTGCTTCTCACGTTCACGCGACTTCATTAAACGCTAATTGTTTGTTTGCTAACAATCCTCACTTTCTGTTACCCGATTCATGCGTTCAACAATCGGCCTGAGGTTCCGGTTGCGCCGCGGACCACGGAATTTAACCTATGTAGCGCCCAAAAAGATAACTCTTATCTTTCGTGTACAATTTACTTGTTGATCGATTGTACATTACTCCTTCTTGTTTTAACCTTACAACCGGCTCGACACACAACTGCCTTGTAAGTCCCCGCGCTCACGTGTACGCTCTTGCCTCGCTTCATCCGTCCGCTTATTGTTGTAGCCCATCGAATACAGTCCGCTGTGTCCGACTTCCGACGAACCCCCATTTACACGAACGCACGCCCATTTTTACTCGGCACGATTTCGCCTTACGAACCTCGTTTCAACATTCCTTTTCGATTTCGAAGGCTTTCTATGTTCAGCCTTCTAGAGGGGGAGCTTTGTAGCGCCCAAAAAGATAACTCTTATCTTTCGTGTACAATTTACTTGTTGATCGATTGTACATTACTCCTTCTTGTTTTAATCTTACAACCGGCTCGACACACAACTGCCTTGTAAGTCCCCGCGCTCACGTGTACGCTCTTGCCTCGCTTCATCCGTCCGCTTATTGTTGTAGCCCATCGAATACAGTCCGCTGTGTCCGACTCCAATTGACTTCTGATATCCGCGCTTAATTCCGCGCATCGTCTCGGACTAGTATTGACTAGTCCTACACCTATAGCTCTCCTTCGTCCCCAATCCTCGTTCCGTCTGGCGTGCTTCAACTTCCGAACACTCATGCAGATTGGACAGCAAGCCGGTGTAGCGCGCACCCAAGAGTCTCTATACATTGATGTCTGGTGTCTTTCAGAAACCCGGTTGCAAGCTCCCAGCACTCTGCTTACATTGACATCCCCCACTAACGACGAAGCCAGATATCACCTGCATTTTTCTGGAGATCCAGAAGCAGCCTCAGTGGGTTTGGCTGGTGTAGGTATAACACCAAGTGGCAAGGCCGAGCCGCCACTACTGAAGTGGTTCCCGATTAACCGCCGACTATGTGCAGTTCAGCTTCAGGGTTCATGTAGAATCAACAAGCACCGCGAAGAGAGACACAACTTGTTTGTGATCTCCGTGTACGCTTCAACTGATTGCAGTGGTGATTCGGTCAAGGACGAATTCTACCGGGATCTACATCAGCTATTGACTAATGCTAAAAAGTTGAATGTCTTTGTCCTTGCTGGGGATTTTAATGCACAGCTTGGTCGCCTGTTAACATACGAACACCACCTTGGTGGTCATCACACGCTCGATGAGAACCGCTCTGCTAACGGAGAGAGGCTTCTCACATTGTGCGAAGACAACCATCTGGTTCTCTAGAGCACTAACTTCAGGCGTAAGTAAAAGCATTCCGCAACGTGACGTCCCCCTTCGCCAACACAATCGTGGTCTCAAATTGATCACATTCTAATTAGTTTCAGATGACGCGGCAGTGTACTAGACTGCAGGTCATTTTGGTCCACCTTCGTTGACTCAGATCATGCACTGGTCTGCGCGAAAATCTGTATGTCTTTTGAGGGGTCCCGAAACACGAAGAACAGCAAGATTGATGTAAACAGATTAACTGATTCCTCTGTTCAGGCGAGCTATCAGTCTTCACTGGCATATGCATTCAGTTGCAATCCACCACAAGACGTGCAGCAACACTGGACTTGTATATGAAAAGCGATGACCTTTTCCGGACAGTCAAGCTGGGGCCTAACTCGACGCCCCCTAAAGGCTTGGATCTTTGCTCCTTCTCTGGAGCCGTTAGAACGTCGCCAAGATATCTTGGTGGAATCAGTTTGCAACGAGTGGCGCCGTTCTGCCAACCGGCTGCTCAAGCAAAGTCTACGCAAGGATCGCAAAACATGGTCGTATGAGCGTGCTTTAGAGACGGCGACCGCTGCCCTCTCTGGCAACACTCGCAAACGTTTCCAACTCATTCGGTCCACTGGCCTCAGGAAGCTTGATGTCAGTGAGTTCATCTGCGAGGTGGATGAGTCTGAGATCACCAACCAACAGAGGCGTATGGACCACTGGGTAGAGCACTTTCACTCGCAGTTCAACTGGCCTCCACCATCCATCAGTACATGCAGTACACCTTGTTGCCCACCCTGGCTCGTCCCACTGAATTCACCCAGCGAGGCAGAAGTCTGCCTCGAGATTCGACGCTTGAAGCGCTTCAAGACTGCCGGCTTAGACGGTCTTCCTCCGGAACTATTCAAGTACGGCGGTGTGGCGATCGTTAACCAGCTGACCGCGCTGTTCGCAAAAATTTGGCATGAAGTGAAAGTGCCTTCCTTTTGGGGCGAATCAGTTATTGTCCTGATTTTCAAGAAAGGCGCTCGCACTTCATGTGTAGATCAATGCGGCATCAGTCTTATTTCGGTTGCCTCCAAGCTGTTGGCATCAAATCTGCTTCGTAGACTATCCCCAGTACGTGCATCATACTACCGTGAAGAACAAGCTGGTTTCCGTCCTGGCCGCGGATGCGTGGATCAAATTTTCACGTTCCGCCAGATCCTCGAACATCACCATATTTATCACAGGCCCACTATCGTCACATTCCTAGACATAGGTGCCGCTTTTGCCTCCGTTGATCGACCTGCTTTATGGCGTTGCTTGCTAAAGAACAGGTGCCAGATAAATATACCGCCACCTTACGAGCACTTTACCTTTATACATCCGGCAGAGTGAGGGTCTATGGCAAGCTTTCCTCGCAATTCGCTGTCAATAGCGGTGTGCGACAGGGCTGCCTTATATCCATATTGCTCCTCAACTTCGTAATCGTAGAGGTTCTGTCGGGTGCTCTAGGAGCTTTCCATCATTTGGCCTAGTGCTTCTACCGGGTGAGCGCGCGATCGACTAAGACTATGCTGGTGATATCGCCTTAGTTGGTGACGATCCTCAGGGTAAGCAACTCATTCTGAATGGTTTGGCGGTTGAAGTATCTAACTATGGCATGTGCTTCGCCCCATCGAACGGTAAAGTACTACTCAAGAATTGGCTTACACCTGTTCCCGTTCTCACTTTCGAAAGTGCACAACTTGAACAGGTAGATAGTTTCGACTACCTTTTAGAGCTGTGTTTCTGCTGACAGCACTGTCAGCATAGAAGTTTCCCTTCGTATCGCTAAAGCTCGATCAGCATTTGTCAATCTGAGGCACTTGTGGCGTCGTTGCGACGTCTCATTTCAGCTAAAGGGCCGCGCTTACAGCGCATCTGTTCGCTCAGTGTTATTGCATGGGAGCGAGTCCTGGCCGATTCGCGTGGAAGACTTGCGTCGTCTTTCTGCCTTCGATGCCGGTTGCTTAAGGAGGATCGCTCGTGTTTGGTGGCAACATCGAGTTAATGGTAACGACGTTGGACGTCACATCTTGGGGAATGCGAGTATTCCCTTCAACAAACTAGTTTTGCTGCACCGGTTGAGATGGCTTGGTCACTTCCTACGCCTAACAATTGAGCGTCCACCTCGTCGCGCTCTATTTGCTCGTCAAGAACCTGGCTGGAGGCGACCGCGTGGTGGTCAGCCTTCTACCTGGGGACAGCACATGAGGATGAGGAGTGTCAATGGCTTAACACTCTTGAAGACATGACCCGCAACCGGAGTCAGTGAAAGAATTGTGTGTAGTATTGTGTTGATTAACATGTTCAATACTTCAAACATTGAAAATGACAAAAAGGAAAAAAATCGGTGCGTGGAAAACACACCAAAAGTGTTTTGTTCTACCTTTCGTTAAAATCTTCTTTTCTTCCTGCGGCATATTAGCTGAAGTGTGTTGCTCGTTGTTAACTACTATGCGACGATGATTATGACACGATGACTGTCCATTATCCGCTGATCTCCATGGTTTTCTGTTGGCTCTATGTCTAGTTGCTAGACTGCTGAGCGTACCTAGTTGGCGCCATCCGGTTTCGGATTTGCTTGTCTCAGTGACCAGCCACAGGACGCCTGCGCCTACAGAGGGACCATGGGTGTCTTGCGCTGCACCACCCACAGCTCCAACAACACACCTGTTATAACGCTGCGCCCGCAATCGACCGGTTGACTCACGCCTGCTGCTAAATCTGCGCTCTTACGCGTGCTCTGTTTGACGCTTTGGCAAACCCGACCGGAAGGAAGACAGAAGAAGACTCAGCAGACCAGAGTTGTATTGGGACAGAAAACGCTCATATTTATATGTCGGTATCACCAGGCGGATTTGGCTGTAATCCCACGCTCCGCACTGCTTGTCCGCTCTATCTGTCCAGTTCGACGTCTTGCTCGGGCACTCCAGTCATCGTCCGCCTACCCGGTGCATGGCGACGCACGTGATGTCTGATGCGCGATTTCATCAGCTTTCGGCTGGGCCCTGGTAACACGCTCGCAGGGACTTCCCAAGCACGATTGATGGCAAACGCGCGAGCGTTGGCGATCAGCTTTCTCGCCCAGCTGTCAACACCCATATCCAGTGTAAACCCAAAGGAATAAGACCGGGAGGCATGTGGATGGGAGCCACGTTTCATCAACGGAGCCGGCCCACACTCCTTCACAGGCAAACACAAGCACGCTTTATTTTGAAACCAAGCGCACACAAGGCGGTGGTTGAACCGTAGTCCGCTCCATACTGAGGGCATGGAACCACTCTTTGGTTCTAGCACGACCACAAAGACCGTGCACGCTGTCCGCTCCAGCAGCGACCAACTGTCTCCTAGGGCCAGCATGGACGAGGTAGTGGGTAATAGACAGGTAGGCACCTTGTCAACATGCACATCAAGCGCAGCCACACCGGCGATATCAAGCAACAGCCAATCACTTGAGAAAAAGATAGCAAAGAAAATAAATCAAGTAATGCATAAGGAAACGGTGACAAAATCTTAAATCAATGAGCATATGAAATAAGTTGTTTACAAAAGAATCCGAGACAACTTCAGGAGGTCAGAAAGTATATTTTACGGAGATGCCACGAACACGAAAAGGTTATCGAAATTAACTAGCATTGGCTTAAGCGACGTGTGCAAGTTTATAGAAGCGAGTACAGGTAGACATTTATTTGAGAAGGAAAAGCATTAGGATAAAATTGATAACCCACCACCTGAAATAAAGAGACTTAGCATGCAAGCACGCGGTTAGTAAATTGAATGCAGCGTACCTACAAACGCTGCGCCGGTTCTGCCTACGTTATCTGCAGGACCCGTCGTCGCTTCGGTAGTGGTCCCGAGTGGCCTCGCTCATGGCTCATTAGGCCTGCCTGACTCAGGCACTCGCGACAGCATGTGCTACAGCACCAAGCGCTCGATGTCGATGGAGTACAACCCATCGGTGCTTGCCGCCTCCGCACTTGGCGCTTCTTCTCTGCATGTATGAGGTCTTTCTCCCGCACTTCGGCAACTGCCTTCGTGAGTAGATCGCGCCATACACGCCGATCAACCTTTTTGATTCCCATGACCTGCAATCAAGATTAGAACATGAGAGGCTCACTTTGATCATGTCCTGGTAACATGACTTTGGTTTCCCCACACGCCGCTTCCCTATACTCAGCTGACCATATAAGAGTTGTTTCGGTATCCGCGTTGAATCCATACGGCTCACATGACCTAGCCACCACAGGTGTCTCAGCAAAAAAATGCAGTCCACTGCATACATTCCACTTTGTCGCAACACTTCCGTGTCTGCAACTCTGTCGCCCAAAGTGATGCGCAAAATGCGTCGCAACCACTGCTGATGGAACCGCTCGAGAGATCGCACATCCCGCCGGTACATCGTCCATGTTTCCCTGCCGTATAGAAGAATGGACAGCACTATGGATTTGTACACCATCAGCTTCGTGCCAATGGTAAGCTGGTGGTTGTTCCACACTGGGTAATCAAGCTTCCCCAATGTCGCCGCTGCCTTAGAGACGCGGATACGCAGCTCACTCTGTATCTGCTGATCAGTCGACATTACACTCCCAAGGTAGCAAAAGCGGGAGGTGTTTTCCAATACTTCAGCACCAATGCTGATTCGCGGCAATATTGAAGATTGCACCTCCGGTGAAGGCTGAAGGAGACGGACAGCTTTGGTTGTGTTGGTGGTGAGCCCGCATTTGGTCGCTGTCGAAGCCAGAGCTCTAGTCATGTGCTGCAACTCATCTGCGCTGTGTGCAAACAACGCACAGTTGTCAGCAAACAGTAACATTGTTATGAGGACCCAACGTCCCTATAATTATTACCGGCTTAAATTACGGAAGGCTGAAAACCCGATTCACACAAGTGCACATGTACTCGGATCATACAAAACGCACACGTTCAATCAGCCTTCCAACTCGTGAAACATTCACATTGTTTAGCCTTTGCACCCAGAAACAGTCTTGTTTCCAACCAAACACGCATTGTTGTATCCAAGCAACATTTAGTTTCCGGACAACCCTCGCCAAACTTCCAACATTTCTGCTCAGTTTACGGACTTTGCGTATTTACATAAAACCATGTTTCTTGTTTCCAGTGTTTGCTTACGCAAACCCTTCCAAGGGAAAACCCCCTTCATCACCGTTTTGTGATATAAAAATGTGGCTGTACAACGCTAGAATCGCCTTAGCTTTGGCCAGTAAAAGCGCCTGTGGCAAAAGGTCTGTCTTGTTCTTGATTCAGTCTTGGGTTGGGAAATCGTGCGTAGAAACTTTGCGTTCGGTCTAGGAACCCGTTCGACTCGCGTGAATTAAATCTTTCGCGGCTAAGTTCCGAGAACCCATAGACTTCGAGATTGTCAGTTACCGTGCTGTGCGAGAAATAATTCTGAGTCTACGTTCGTTCATCCGACTAGGAGAGTTGGTATTACACTGTTAGAACCTGACGTATTCAAGAGGCAGTATTCAACAAACATACGGATAGTTGTCTCACAGACTAGAGTTCTCGCACCGAAACGACGGATGTTAAGCAACCCAGCATGAATACGGTGCTCCACACGAATACAGTAAGCACAAGCGGCATCAAAAGCACAAGACAACATTGCATGAAGATATATATTAAACAGGGCAGGAGCTAAGACACAGCCTTGCTTCACGCCAGAGACAACTGCAAAGTCATCCGTGGTCTCTCCACTCAGCTGCACCCTCTCTCGCATACCACTGTGCAGACATTCAATTAAACGTACAAACTTACTAGGGCAACCA